AAAGCATTAAATCTAGTAGAAATTTTTGCAAATGTAAAATGTGAAAAAATAATTAAAAAATACTTGCTGAATCATTTCCTTGGATTTGGACCCGCAATTTAAGAATTACTTCTGTTAAAACCTAGAATTCAAAAGGCTATATCAATGTTAATTAGGGTCACTAAATCAGTGCTGAAATGTATACACTTGTTTTATTCCCCTCTTCAATTAATTGGTGGTTAATTGGCAAACCATCTTCATCTGCAGGGAGAGTAAAAATAAGCTATCTGAGATATTCATCTGGATAAATTTGAGAATTTTGTCTTTCAAAGTCTGTGACTTGTTAGAACCTTATAATTTTACCACCACTTCACAGGTTATTGGGGATTTTTTTTTTTTTTTGTGAATAACTCTTGGCCCTTTTATTATTCGTAAGCAGCTGATTAGAAGTATTCATTACTGAAAGTGAATTTTAGTTGGGATTGCTGGAGCACATAAGTAGATATCTGCTCTTGTTGGGATCAGCATCATTCTTCAAAGTAATTCCCTTTAGCAAATAGTGATATTTAAACATTTAAGTTGAACATTCGACAGCCACAAAAAACTTCCAGCAGATTAACAGCCTGAAAGGAAATACAGATTTTCTTCAGTGTTCATATGGGTAATCAAACTAATATTTTATGCATTAAGAAGCTCTCTTATGTTACGGTGGTTAAAGCAGTGGTCCACATCAGTATTCAAATCACAGCTTTTAAAAGTGAAAGTCAGATTATTTCTGCTAATGTGGTACAGTATTTCTTAAAGAAAATATATTCCTTCAGTTTCATGGATAAGATCATTAAGGTTTAAACCATAGATGATGGAATTATCAAGGTATACAAATGGTATACACAACAACTTGAACACAAACCTTCTAACTGTTACAGAGGATAACAAAAATAATTGCTCCACAATTAAATAATGTATCATGCAAGATATATAAAAATTAGAAAATAGTTTAATTTGCATGCCTGTTGAGATATTTACTTCCTGTAGAATACATAACACTGACTGCTGAAAGATGAATATGAGAGATAAAAATTATTCCTCTCGTTTTCAGATTTGAACTAATATTTCCTCTGACATGAAGAAAAAAATTCTTCTGGTGACAGACTATATATTTTGAAGCAGCACACTGCGTTGTTGAACAATTAAAAATAGAATCATAGAAATTAATCTTCTCTCCCATTTTGATTGCCAAAAAATATGTACTGATCTACTGATGCTGCACAGGTAAAAAATTGATAGTAAAAAATTCATGTATTCTGTCACTTATGTTCAACACAAACATTCTCAGGTAAACCACATCCATGCCTGATCAACAGGCATTTCTTTGTTGTCTGATCAATCAATTAGAGTGATCGTAAAATAAAACCTAACCGGGAAAACAGTATGTAGACCTTGAATAGCATAAGAAATAATTTTAGCATGTATTTAAGTATGCATTGATAATTTCTGGATGTTAGTTTTACTCATAGTACAAAATTATTCTATTCTTTTGATATGCTAAAATGTGGATTTTTTTGGGGAGAGTGAGGGTTTCCTTGTTTTGTTTTTGTTTTGTAGTAGGAAGCTGCAGTAGTCAGTAGTCAGATTAAACTGAAATTTATTTCCAGTAAGCCAAGGAATCAGTTTTTGAGAGATATTGTCTGTAACTGTATGCAGCTGCTTTTAGACCTTCAAACACATGGTGAAGACCAGCAATTTTTGCTGTTTCTTCAGGGATCCGTGTGTAAGTTCAGTGCTACTTTTTACCTTGCTAAGTTTTTTCCTATCTAGTCAGGCTAGAGTTATTTCTGAAAGAAAAAAAGTGTGTGAGTGTGCTATGGTTAGCATTATTGCTGAAAGTAAAGCAATCATTTAATGTAATCTTACAGAAGAATAGTGCTCAGGACCATGATACCTATATTCAAAAGTGGAAGGAAAAAAGATCCATGAAGAAAATTGTGAGATAATAATCTGTTAAAATACTCTCTTAAAATTCTTTTGATATGTATTATCAGAATGTTAGTATCTATAAAGTGCTGACATCATTTTCTTTTGATGTTTTCAATGAAAAAAAACCAACAAGCATTACTTGTACCCTAATTTCCAGAAGATGTAAATTTCAAACATTTTTTTAACTGAAATTTTGCAATTCTATGATCAGCATTTCTATGGAACACATATGATTTCACAAGACTTCATCCATCATATTCAGAGACAAGATACAGTCATTTACAGCTTAATCTAACAACTAGTTTTGGCTTAACATAATCAGTACCACTCAGAAGAAAAATTGTGACAATTGTAGAGCATTAACAATTGAAATCAACATTGACTTCTTTCTTCTTTCCTTTTTCTCCTTTTCCATAAATACCACGAATACTTATTTTTCTTAATTTTATAATCACTTTGATTCAAAAATTTAAAATGTCGAACTGTGAGAGTTGTATAAGACTGATGTACTGTTTCCAAATAGATAAGTTATGTCTAATATGTCTCAGTAATTGCAGTTTTAATAAGCCTCAGTTACTGCATCTATAGAGAAAGAACATAAAAAAAAAAGCTTGAGATAATATATCAAGTGAAACCAGACATAATACAATGCTGAACCAAAGAATCAAGGACAGTGGGCAAAATAATTGAAGTAAAGCCAGATTACGAGGAACAAACATGGTCAGTTCATCAAACTAGTTAAAGGGTAATTCTGGCAAAGAGTGATCGTGACCACCAACTCCAGAAATCCACTGATTCAAAAGAAGAAACTGAGCATGTGCACTAATCAGCATAAGAAGAAAGAGAATCATTTAAGCAATAGAAGATAGAATACCAATTAATGAGAGAACTATGCAACTTGTAGCCAATGAACATTAATGCCTTGGTTTGCTAAAATATATAAGTAGTGAAAAGTTTAGATAATCGCTGAGCTAGCTTTGTGGATTTGCCACATAGAACCGAGTTCTGCAAAGAACTCTAAATAAATCAAATACCATGACTCTGTCTGTGGATTGTTCTCTTGCACTCTGGGTGAACGAACGTGTTTCAGGACACCAAGACCATGGCAGTTTTGTGTGTTCTCAGGCAAGAGCTTTTGAAGTAAGGCCAATAAAGTGTTTCAGTGACAAAATGACTTTGGATACAGAGAAATGAACATTTTGGTACTGGGAAATCTTAACATATGAACTTCAAAGCAAGAAACCTCAAACTGATGAAGTGCAAAAGGAGAGCCAACTAAAGAAAATTCGTTATTTAGAACTCAATAAGTGATATTAGTGTAATTGCTTACAACATAATTATTACTAAATTATTTTTACCTCCCATGCTGATGTCTTTCAAACCCACAGAAACAAAATGAGAGCAACTGGGAAACCACTGATTGGCTAGAATAAACTTGGATTTTATTCTGTGAGGGGGCTTTGTACCTTCAGCTGCCACGGAGCTTCAAGGGAAAAGAGGATGCTTGACACTGTAGTAATTATTTCCTTTTCATACTGTTCACAGAACCTACAAAACCTATTATGAAGTGAAAGGGAAGACTGAGAGGAAAACGGTGCAGAAGTTATGAAGTCAATACTGTATACTGCAGTATTAGATAATGTGTGCATACTTGTGGAATACATAGTAATTTTCTCAATAGGAAAAGAGGTTGCTGAAGTAACAACATGAACAGTCACTGCAGGGAAACCAAAGCTTCTGACCTTGGATTTTTTTTGCTTTATTTTTCTACGTTGTTACTATGTTTTCTCTTTTCAACCACTTAGCAGTGGTTAGACCTACTCTTGTTGCTCTCCTAACATCCACCAAACCTAACCAGCCCACAACTCTGCCTTAAGAAAATCAATTCTCTTTTTTGATATCTTTTCAATGTGTAGTTGAACACACTTTCTGTGACTCAGTCATTACCACCAGTATGCAAAAGTTTATTAAGTCACGAGAGTGATTTTGTTAAAGTTTGTCTCCTGACAAAACCTTTTGCTTTGGAGAGGAAAAAGAGGGAGGCAGGAAGAGAGGAGAGAAATAAAAGAAGTGAAAGAGGAGTCAGGTTGACTTAGAATAACACCTTAAAGAAAAAAGAAGAAAAAACTTATTTTGGCTCCTAAGTACCTCTCCTCACAAACTCTTCTTTTCTTTTCTTGTCTCTTCTCTCATCTTTTTCAAGTATTGTGGTATCCTTTCCTCCCAACTCACTTCCTACTTCAGAAGAAGAGCGGTTTCCACACAAAATATATTGGTCCTCACTCTTCTCTTCCCCAGCAGGACAACCATGAGCCTGGATGATACCCCTAGGAAAGGTTTCAAACATTTCCTATGTTGCATATATAGAACGCATCATACAAAACTTTCCTTTTTAAATATTGTCAGGAAAAGCAACCACGACCTCCCTGTGAAAAAGCCTGATGAACATTCAAGGACAAGATTAGATATCTTGAAAGGTTGTTGCTCTTTTCTCTTCCTTGTTCTTCTCTTAAAAGAGGAAAGCTGTAACAGCAAGTTGAAAGCCCACTAGTGCATGGAAAAGCTACTGTATCAATCTCACTATGTTTGTCTATCTTAGTCTGTAATGAATCACATTGGTTAAAGCAGAATCCCATAAACCGCCATGGAAGAATCAAATACTTGTGAAGAAGTATGATTGTGCGTAGGCCTTCAGAACACAAATATTAGATAGTCTGTTCTGAGGCAGAGAGCCCAAGAAAGAGGGACAAAAGAGATTTCATTTATTTAGCAGATAAAAGAGAGCGACTATTGACCTATTCAAGGACTTTGACCGACCCAAAACACAAACCTTTTTATTTACAGTGTTGCTGTGTATCCAAGTTTTAGTTTAGTACTTGTGCATTTGATTTTCCATATTACATGTAGTACTTAATACTTGTTTTTATCAGAAGTAATTTTGTGGATCAAAGTTCATATAATTTATCATGTCTTATTCATATTTTGTCCTCCAAAAAAGAAATACTTCCTCCCAGATTTGTTTCTTCTGCATTCATTTCCTTTATTTCATCTATTCAAGCTATTAATGAAAATATTGAACAGAACCAGACCCCAGGCAGAACTTTGCAAAATTCCTCTTTAAGTGACTTGACAGATTGACAGAAAGCCATTGGTACATTGGATTTATTCCAGGTTTTTAACCAATCCACTATTACTCATTTGACAATGTGCTGTAATTTACACATGACAGGTGTAATAGCTAATTCCTAAAAGAACACTCCAACTTCTGCTTCTACGTTTGTAATAGTAAGGCCCGGAGGTTTGCCAACAGTGCCATTCTCCTTCAGTAGTGGTAATGAAATTTTCTTGTTAATTAATTTTAAAATACTTTTCACAGAGGAAATTTCTCCAGCTTGAAATTCTAAACTATCAGTTCCATATTTGCTGCAACCAATTCTTACCTTGAACTGCCTTTGATCCAGCAACTCTACTGAGCAACTCTTCAAAGCACACAAATAACTATATATGCATTTTCCTTTGTCACAGGGAGGTTGTGCTTGCTTTTCCTGACAATATTTAAAAAGGAAAGTTTTATATGATGTGTTCTATATATGCAACATAGAAATTATATACTCCTAAAACTTTGTGCTGAAGAAAACCTGAAAAACAAACGGGTTAGAGAAAGATTTTGGAGTTGGAATCACAAATGCTCCTTAGGCCAGTGAAACCCACTGCTTCATGCTATGGTGGTGTCTTCATTCACAAGGAAAACAATAATTCAGGTTCATGCAGTACTTAGGTTTTGGCCTTATCAGCGTCATCTAATATATTTATTCTTAAGCAAGAATGTTTCTGCCATAGTGAAACTGCTGCTACCAGTGATAATTTAAAAATATTGTGTTTTATATTTTTTACCTGAGACAATATAACAGTAAGAAAGAACAAGTCTCTCAGCAGTTATACTGTACACCAATCACTGAAATTTGTTTCACTCGTCTAAAAAGACTTGGAACAAAACCGCTGGGAGACAGAAGTTATGGTAGGTTTCACAATGAGCTCCATTGGGGAAGTTTGTAAAGGAGAAGTAAAGGGGAAGTTTACCATTACTCATAATGATATGATTAAGTTCAATCTAAGTTTTAATTTACCTTCTTGAAGACTGCTAAGGTGGCCTCTGCATTCTTCCATCTGTCCCTCAGGCAAATCTCAGCAGAATTCAGAAATCTATGCCTGTGTTTGCAAATCAGAATGGTGATTCTGGCAGCATAATTGCCACATATTTCTGTAACAAGATTATCCAAAATGGGTAAGGATCTGACACACATGTCTAGATGTCTAAAAATCCACCGATAAAATATTTTTTCTTTTCCTTTTGCTGATATTTCACTTTTATAGTCTCACTTCATTATAAGTTGCCAATGTTGTTATGGTTAGTGAGCAAGAACACTTTTTACCTACTTTGATACATTACATAAAAAGAAAGGACAATTTTTTTGTGAAAATGCAGAAACCCATCTGCATTTTTTTTCCCAAAAGTTGTTAGATGAAGACGGAATAGATGTTAGCATCACAAAATCTGTGCCTTAGAACATGGTACATGACTAACAAAGATATATGACAAAAAGATACATTAAATTCACCATGACATAGGTATAGATTAAAGCTTGCTTAAGTTTGAGGATAACTTGAGAAATATTTGAAACTTTGAAATTAATGACATTTTTTTGATGTAAATTCTAATATTTGTATACATAAACGCCTATCCTTCCCCCCCCAAAACCTCAAAGGTAGTAGAGACATACAAAACAGGAAATTTGAAGGCTTTTGTGCATATATAGGTTGAGCTTTGGTGGGGCTGCTTGTAAAAAAATGTATAAAATCTGCTTCTTATGCTAATCAGCTTGCGTTGTCTCTATCATTTCCAGATATGCTCACAGTGTCTAAAAGAAATGATCATCTGCCAACAGCAAACCCAGTAAAAGCATGATATTAACCTCTCTAACAGTTAGAGGTACTGCAGTGAGTCCAGGAAATGCAGTTAATAACATTTGAATAATGAAAGTCTTCCCAAAGCCAATGTTTGAAATTTCTGTTTACTTTATTTTTAATCAAGCATCAGTTTTCTATTGTTTTATAGCCTAGTTCCTAAGGGATGTGTGCCAATTGCTTACCCTAAAGGCACATTACATTGCTAACAAGTGTCAGATTTGGAAAATTATCTTCTCTTTCTACGTAAAATCATCAGAATTTATAGGCTTTTTGGCAGATTATTCTCCTGAATAGGTATTGTTACTTTTTTCTGCAAGAAATAGTCTCAGATTTCTTTCCTGTGAATTGTTATATTTAGAAGATGAACCAGTTATTTTACATTTACATGAAATGCATCTGGTAGTTGAAGCCCTAAATTTAGTAATTTACCTGAGACCCACTGAGGTGGTAAAGTAAGAAAAGATCTATGCAGCTTTTGTATCCCCTAAAAAAAATAATTCCTTCTCCTTAAGGATAAACACTGCTTCTATGATGATACTATGGGCATGGAGGTTGCAGAAGGCACAGATGACAAGAACCACAGAGCATCTGGAGAGGAGGAGAGTAGAGAGTCAACAAAATCCCTTCTAGCTCTGACACGATGCTTGGCAAGATATGTGAGGATGTGCACAAGGTTCAGGACTTCTGCTGTGTCCTTCAGTTCCTTCTCATAGCGCTTCTGCCAGCTACTTTTCTAATCTCATCACACTAAAGTACCCCACACCAAGTCAGGTGGTATTTTACTCTTAAAGATAGTCACAGGAGATGAAATTAGTCCCTGCGTTCTGTAGGACTAGCACACTGGAGGCCCAGAAAAGGAGAAAGATGGATCAGAAAAACCTATAAAGGAAAAAAAATATGAAAGAACTGTAAGAGGGAGATAAGTAAGGAAATAGTGTCAACTAGCTGTTGAGATACTAGATAGAGTACCTATGTATGAAGAATGGTATCATAAAATGGCTAAGCAAGGAAAGAATACTTTAGAACTGAACTGACATCACGAATAATCAATAAAAGGGATAAGGCAAACAAGGCAGCATTAGAAAACCATATTTGAGCAAATGCTTTTGAGATAAACTTATTGCTTTCTTTGTGTTTTACTTACAGTAAAGAATTTGTGAGATACCATTTTTCTCCTTCTTATATGATGGTAAGGAGTTAACTTTTGAAAAAGTGTATGCAACATAGAAAATTCTCCTTCTACTGGAGACGATAACACCTTGTGGTGGTTTGGAGCTGGTTCCCTGCCAAGTCTCCAAACCCCACCACAAGAGCTACCCCCCCAAAACCAAGGGAAAAGAAAAAAAAAATCCAAGAAAACTGAAATAAGAGAGAGCTAGAGCAATATACAAATATATTTACACTTATATTACATTTCTATACAATTACAAAAACAATATACACATAAGGAAAAAAAACCCAACACCAGAAAACAGAAAAGAGAAAGGGAAAAGAGACAAAAGAAAAAAACAAACCCAAAATAGGTATACACACTCAATAAAGAACTATCCAAAGAAAACCTTAATACTTTCCTTGAGATAGCACAATTGCGCTCAACGCCACCGCCACACTACCTGACTCCGGATTGGCAGAAACAACAGGCCCCGTAGACCTGACCAGGCCTCAGCTCCCCCACAGGAGCGAGACCCACCACAGGAGTCTGCTGTCTCCAAACCGCACCGGAAGGGAAGAGAGAAAGAGGCTTCTCTCTCCGTCTATTTATATGTTTGATTACGTAAAGGAATAGGATGGAATACTTCCGTCCTTCCTTCCTGATTGCCAGGAAGGAAGGCCTAGACTCAAAACCGTTACACACCTTCAAATTTTTTTCTGGCAAAATTTTTTCTAAACAGTTTTAATTAACATTTCAGAAGGAAACAAATAGCTGTCTGTTTCTAAAAAAGTGACCGACCATTCCAGTTGTTACTTCTGTAATTTATTATTTTTTATAGTAATGAAAGTTAATATGGAATGAACATGTTAAAAAGTTTTGGCATGGTACTGATGTAATAGTCTAGATATGATATAGCTAATATAATATTGTATACATAAAAGGTTAAGTTGAGCAGACTTAAATTATAAATGAAGATTTGGAGGGAACAATCAAGATTGATATTTTGTGAGGGTATTGTTTTAAGATAGGAGAAATATATCTTGGATTGCAATTATCATGGAAACTGAGCAAACCCAGCAGTTTACTTGAGGCAGTAGTCAGAGATATTTGAATTTGGCACAGATATAAATTCCTCCTTTCAGTTACCAGACTGCAGTTAGCATTGCACTGGGGTTCACCAGCACATGGTTGTTGCCTACTTCCCTAGCTGCACTGACCTGGAAACTCAACCCACAGTAATAGTTAAAGGAAAGTGCTGAGTCTTCACAGACAGGGGCCTGTCCACATCCCCTTGCTTTTCAGCATACTCTATCTCTGCACACACTTCCCTGTGTAAGTAAAGTTAAAACTGCATGTATAATCATGACCTCTTCCATTAGATGTTCTGTCATCAGATATTTAGTTCAGGATTTAGGCTGATTGTTACCTTCTAGGTATGATCTAAATCATAAAATGTAGCCATGTCTTAACTAACCCTATCTTCACATGGTTCATATTTAAATATTAAAAACCAAAGTTTTAATGTTTTCACCCAAAAATGAGAAATAGAATATGTATTGGAGGCAAATGTAACACTAATGCTAATCTTGTTCCTTTATTTCCCACCTTGGTTTTGTTGAGGAAACTTTCACTGGTTGAAAAATGTGTTTGTGGATATACTTGTAAGATTGCAAAAGGTTTTTGGTTCACGACTCACGCAAAGGATGAAGTTAAATGACTGCACAATATTTGTATTTCTAAAGGTTAATATAGTTCCCTTTGTGATATGGCTCACCAGGATACAGCTTTTGCCACGGGAGTCTTTACATTCCTTTATACGGGTTTCCCAGAGAAGATGTGGATGTCCCATAATTGCAAGTGTTCAGTGTTTGGTTGGATGAGGTTTTAAGCAACCCGATCTAGTGCAAGATGTCCCTGTCCATGGCAGGGAGATTGGAATAGATGGTCTTTGAAAGTCTCTTCAATGAATGAATGGATGATCTTGCAACATCTTACACTGTAAATATTTTGATGTCATGTATAGTGTTAAAGTGAACCACTATGTTAGTAGATTCCAGTAAATTTTCCTATGCAATTATGAATCATAAAATTATTGAAATTTTTATAGGCATCTCTATTTAGCAGTGTTTCCTAAAACAAGAAATCATTACTATGTTTTAGAATGTTGTTAAAAAGGTTAATGTTATGGTTTTATTTGGTCAGTAGAACAACTCTGATGAAATTTGTTTTGTTACATTAAAATAAACATTTTTCTTTTAAGGCAATAAAAAGTGACTAGATAGTCTAAGTTCAAGAGTTATGAACTGAAGTCTTGTTGTCTTTTATGAAATGTGTTTTCATGCAGAATAAATGGAAAAAGTGGACTCTATCTATGGAACAGATATGTGAGTTTATTATGAATAATCCAAGACAACTAGTCAAATTCATGTGATAAATCCTAAATGCAATGCCTTGTGCAGAAAGAGAAAAAACATCCTACAAACCTAAGAATAGCTCAGGGAGAATAAAAGTTTGTTCACTTCCTTGAAGTCTGAGTTAGCCTAAAGAAGTCATGATTCTTCCAAGACAATATGTGAATACTGCTTTTGAGTTTCAGTCCATCATCTGGGGCTTTTTTATCGATGTAATAAAAAATAAGATTTCAGTATCATTCTAAATTTGTGATTTAGATATCTTCCTATCAGAGTGCACAGAAATACTACAATAATCCTGAAAACATATTATAACTTTGTATCTGTGTGTCTATATATAAACTCAAAAAAATAGCTCTTTACAATTTTTTTTTCCTGAGACTCTACTGTATAATGTTGTGTTTGTAAACATTATTCTAGTTTTGATAGTCTTTTTTCCCCCTACATTCAATGCTGGTAAAGAAGAAATTTTTGTTTCATATAAAGTATGATTTCCTACTAAGCAGTTTTACACCGAAACACAAAAGTAGGTTCAGCAACATTAACGTGATAATATAAGAGAAAGAAATTAACTCTTTTTATTAAAGAATTGCTTTTATCCACCTATCTTACAGTGTGGAATAATAGAGTTCATATTTCACTTTTTGTAACGTCTTTCTTCAAAACTACTTGAGAGCTTTCAGACTTATACAGTAAGTTTAAGGTATAAACTATATTTCATCAAAATTGCATTAGAATTACCCAAATAACTCAGAATAATCTTGTAAAATTCTTGTTGCTATTTTGGTACAACCAGAGGAAATACTACTCTGTAAAATCAAATCAGATAGTTTTACTTGATTAAATTCCAAGAAGGATTACATTTTTTATTGAATAAACACAATATAATAATACTGATATGTAGGGTTTTTTCCTCTGCAAAAAAACCGAACCAAAACAAACCACAACTATAAAAACCAGAGACAGAAAAAATCATCTGGGTGTCTGTAGTACAGGGCCTCCTCCAAACAGAAGTAGCAAATTTTAAAATTTAATGCTGAGGAAATTTGAACAGTTTAACTATTTTTCACAGTAAAGAACAGCAAATGTTTTTGCAAGTTGTGAGAGAGGGGAAATATTAGCAGGAAGTGATGGACTTTAACACTTCCAGGAGAAAGAGAACTGTTGCTAATCTAAGTCTCTGTGGAACAGAAAGAAATTAAGAGGCAGTGGAGAGGAAAAGAAAAGAAGATGGAAACTATATTGTATCATAAAATCAGTATGGAATAGTAAATAGTCACAGGAGTAATTTTAGACCTAACTTTTACAATAAATCATTCAGTTTATTTCTTTTACTTTAAAAACTTTAAAATTTATTTTAATACCGTCAAAAAAAGTCTATTTTTCACAATAAAAAACCCCAAAGCAAACTGAAAAATCTAGTATTATTCAATGCTAATACCTATTAAACAACAAGTTAACATGCAATATAAAACTTTAGTACTGTTTCTGAAGTATGCTGTCACTATCTGCTTTCATTTTCCTCAGTCCGACAGTCTTTGTCTGTTAGACTATTGCTGCTGTTGCTTGTATTCTATTTTTCTGGATGTACTAAACCCTAGAAGAAATTGCTTTTCTATGTGGAGCATTGGTTCATAATAATCTCCAAACCAGTCTTCAATAATATTTTCCAGAAAACCTTATTATTTTATTCAAAATTTATTTTGAATAAAAAAAAAAAATCTGATTTTGATGAACAGTGAAGAAGGGAAATTAGATGTTTCTCCTGAAAATTAAATAATTTTTTTATATAAGCAAGAACAAACCAAAGAGTATTTAGGAAAACAAACAAACAAACAGAACTTGTTTCTGCACACATCATGTGTATACACAGGTAGGACGATCTTTATAGGGAAAAAAACTAGGTCTGAATGACTTTTCAAAGAAAATATGGGGCTAGTCTACACAGAGAAAGCAGGCAGACCCAGGTCTTCTTCTTGAACTTCACTTCAGATTTCCTGTTGAAAGAAGTTTATATTAGATGTATTCAGAATATGTTGAGGCAGAGCTGTTAGTATGTCTCAAATTTCAAATATCTATGTTGTGAAATTTAATCCCAGAAGTTGTCTTTAATAAGAACACATATTTGATATCTAACTGAAAGTAGTCCATCCAATCTTACTCCAGACTCTCTGAATTGGAATTAAAGTTTATTTTGTTGACTGCTAGTAACTTAGTAAAGTAGAACGCCACAACTTCTTGTTAGGTTGTAGGCTTGTGTAGGTTTTGATATTACTTTGCAAAGAAACTAATGCTTATTGTTTGGGGACAAAGTAAAGGAGAACCTTCTAAAACATTTCGAATATTTTCCTACTGATTGTAAATGGAAAGTTCGTATTTCTTTAGAAATATTTTGTGATAAATTTTATTCTTTAGATCAAGGACTGAGACATCTATCTTGCATTGACGTATTATTGATTTTTAAAGAAAATATTTTTATTTGAACCTGCAATTCAAGCTTGGGAGAGAAAAATGAATGTTTAATATCGTCTCCTTTTCTCTTTCAGCTTTATTAAATTATAGTACATGTGAATCAAAATAGAGAAAGTTATCTGAAATGTTTGGGGTTTATGGCTCATCAAAAGTTTGCTAGATACAAGTCAGAACAGTACTTGAAGTTTTGCGTGTTTGCTACTCAATTCATTACTTCATTATACTAAACAGAAAAGACAGCATAAAACATTGGAAGCAGTATGAAAGCAGAAGTGAGTTACTATAGATAGCTACTCCTAATACCCACTTAGGTCAGTGCTTAAAGCATCTATTCTGAGGTATTCACAAGGGTTGATCTTGGGCACAGCAAGCTACACTCACCTTGGATCTAAGGATAAGTTCTCTAATTCCTGTGATTTGCTGCAAGACTCATTCTCATTCCACTAGCTAGGGAGAAAACTTGTGGGGGCCATCATTCTGGGATTAAAGTGAGCCATTTCTCTGCAGTGTACCTCAGTATTTAGGCAAACTTTGGAAATCAGGGAAAAGAAAAAACCCTTTCCAAAACACCAACC